CGCTGTCCCCACGGCGGGACGGCCACTCCAGGACCCCCGGGATGTCCCCCCCGGCCGTGTCCCGCTGTCCCCGCGCTGTCCCCGCGCTGTCCCCGCTGTCCCCAGCGCGGCTGGCTTTGGGGCCGCCGGCCGCTCCGGTGTCCCCGATGTCCCCGGGGCTCTGCAGGCGCCATGTGGGACCCACGAGGCCCCGCCCGGTCGTGACATCAGCGTCGTCACGACAACGGGGCGACTTCAAAGGGAATCGGGTGGAACCGGCCCAAAAAATGGGGGTAAACAGCGGCGGCGGCACCGACCGGGCCCGGGGGGCTCGGGGGGGGCTCGGGGGGCTTTGTGCCCCATGGCAAGGGGGCTTCATGCCCCATGGAGAGGGGATCAGAGCGATGTGTGCCCCACAGCAGGGGGATCCGTGCCCCATGGAGACGGGGATCAGTGCCCCATAGTGAGGGGGCTTTGTGCCCCATGGCGAGGGGATCCGTGCCCCATGTGCCCCATGGAGAGGGGCCTTTGTGCCCCATGGAAAGGAGGATCCGTGCCCCACGTGCCCCATGGCGAGGGGATCCATGCCCCATAGAAAGGGGCCTTCGTGCCCCATGGCGAGGGAGTTCAGTGCCCCACAGGGAGGGATCCCCGTGCCCCATGGCACAGGGACTGTGTGCCCCACAGAGAGGGGGTTCCCTGCCCCACAGAGACAGAACTGTGGGGCACCGAACCCCACGGCACAAGGGGTTCAGTGCCCCATGGCACAGGGACTGTGTGCCCCACACAAAGGGGGTTTGGTGCCCCACACAAAGGAGGTTCCCTGCCCCATGGCACAAGGGGTTCAGTGCCCCATGGCACAGGGACTGTGTGCCCCACACAAAGGGGGTTCAGTGCCCCACAGAAAGGGGGTTTGATGCCCCACAGAAAGGAGGTTCTCTGCCCCGTGGCACAGGGACTGTGTGCCCCACAGAGAGGGGGTTCAGTGCCCCACACAAAGGGGGTTCAGTGCCCCACAGAAAGGGGGTTTGATGCCCCACAGAAAGGAGGTTCTCTGCCCCGTGGCACAGGGACTGTGTGCCCCACAGAGAGGGGGTTCAGTGCCCCACACAAAGGGGGTTCAGTGCCCCACAGAAAGGGGGTTTGATGCCCCACAGAAAGGAGGTTCTCTGCCCCGTGGCACAGGGACTGTGTGCCCCACAGAGAGGGGGTTCAGTGCCCCACACAAAGGGGGTTCAGTGCCCCACAGAAAGGGGGTTTGATGCCCCACAGAAAGGAGGTTCTCTGCCCCGTGGCACAGGGACTGTGTGCCCCACAGAGAGGGGGTTCAGTGCCCCACACAAAGGGGGTTCAGTGCCCCACAGAAAGGGGGTTTGATGCCCCACAGAAAGGAGGTTCTCTGCCCCGTGGCACAGGGACTGTGTGCCCCACAGAGAGGGGGTTCAGTGCCCCACACAAAGGGGGTTCAGTGCCCCACAGAAAGGGGGTTTGATGCCCCACAGAAAGGAGGTTCTCTGCCCCGTGGCACAGGGACTGTGTGCCCCACAGAGAGGGGGTTCAGTGCCCCACACAAAGGGGGTTCAGTGCCCCACAGAAAGGGGGTTTGATGCCCCACAGAAAGGAGGTTCTCTGCCCCGTGGCACAGGGACTGTGTGCCCCACAGAGAGGGGGTTCAGTGCCCCACACAAAGGGGGTTCAGTGCCCCACAGAAAGGGGGTTTGATGCCCCACAGAAAGGAGGTTCTCTGCCCCGTGGCACAGGGACTGTGTGCCCCACAGAGAGGGGGTTCAGTGCCCCACACAAAGGGGGTTCAGTGCCCCACAGAAAGGGGGTTTGATGCCCCACAGAAAGGAGGTTCTCTGCCCCGTGGCACAGGGACTGTGTGCCCCACAGAGAGGGGGTTCAGTGCCCCACACAAAGGGGGTTCAGTGCCCCACAGAAAGGGGGTTTGATGCCCCACAGAAAGGAGGTTCTCTGCCCCGTGGCACAGGGACTGTGTGCCCCACAGAGAGGGGGTTCAGTGCCCCACACAAAGGGGGTTCAGTGCCCCACAGAAAGGGGGTTTGATGCCCCACAGAAAGGAGGTTCTCTGCCCCGTGGCACAGGGACTGTGTGCCCCACAGAGAGGGGGTTCAGTGCCCCACACAAAGGGGGTTCAGTGCCCCACAGAAAGGGGGTTTGATGCCCCACAGAAAGGAGGTTCTCTGCCCCGTGGCACAGGGACTGTGTGCCCCACAGAGAGGGGGTTCAGTGCCCCACACAAAGGGGGTTCAGTGCCCCACAGAAAGGGGGTTTGATGCCCCACAGAAAGGAGGTTCTCTGCCCCGTGGCACAGGGACTGTGTGCCCCACAGAGAGGGGGTTCAGTGCCCCACACAAAGGGGGTTCAGTGCCCCACAGAAAGGGGGTTTGATGCCCCACAGAAAGGAGGTTCTCTGCCCCGTGGCACAGGGACTGTGTGCCCCACAGAGAGGGGGTTCAGTGCCCCACACAAAGGGGGTTCAGTGCCCCACAGAAAGGGGGTTTGATGCCCCACAGAAAGGAGGTTCTCTGCCCCGTGGCACAGGGACTGTGTGCCCCACAGAGAGGGGGTTCAGTGCCCCACACAAAGGGGGTTCAGTGCCCCACAGAAAGGGGGTTTGATGCCCCACAGAAAGGAGGTTCTCTGCCCCGTGGCACAGGGACTGTGTGCCCCACAGAGAGGGGGTTCAGTGCCCCACACAAAGGGGGTTCAGTGCCCCACAGAAAGGGGGTTTGATGCCCCACAGAAAGGAGGTTCTCTGCCCCGTGGCACAGGGACTGTGTGCCCCACAGAGAGGGGGTTCAGTGCCCCACACAAAGGGGGTTCAGTGCCCCACAGAAAGGGGGTTTGATGCCCCACAGAAAGGAGGTTCTCTGCCCCGTGGCACAGGGACTGTGTGCCCCACAGAGAGGGGGTTCAGTGCCCCACACAAAGGGGGTTCAGTGCCCCACAGAAAGGGGGTTTGATGCCCCACAGAAAGGAGGTTCTCTGCCCCGTGGCACAGGGACTGTGTGCCCCACAGAGAGGGGGTTCAGTGCCCCACACAAAGGGGGTTCAGTGCCCCACAGAAAGGGGGTTTGATGCCCCACAGAAAGGAGGTTCTCTGCCCCGTGGCACAGGGACTGTGTGCCCCACAGAGAGGGGGTTCAGTGCCCCACACAAAGGGGGTTCAGTGCCCCACAGAAAGGGGGTTTGATGCCCCACAGAAAGGAGGTTCTCTGCCCCGTGGCACAGGGACTGTGTGCCCCACAGAGAGGGGGTTCAGTGCCCCACACAAAGGGGGTTCAGTGCCCCACAGAAAGGGGGTTTAGTTCAGTGCCCCATGGCACAGGGACTGTGTGCCCCACAGAGAGGGGGTTCAGTGCCCCACACAAAGGGGGTTCAGTGCCCCACAGAAAGGGGGTTTGATGCCCCACAGAAAGGAGGTTCTCTGCCCCGTGGCACAGGGACTGTGTGCCCCACAGAGAGGGGGTTCCCTGCCCCACAGAGACAGAACTGTGGGGCACCGAACCCCACGGCACAAGGGGTTCAGTGCCCCATGGCACAGGGACTGTGTGCCCCACACAAAGGGGGTTCGGTGCCCCACAGAGACGGAACTGTGGGGCACCGAACCCCACGGCACAAGGGGTTCAGTGCCCCATGGCACAGGGACTGTGTGCCCCACACAAAGGGGGTTTGGTGCCCCACACAAAGGAGGTTCCCTGCCCCATGGCACAAGGGGTTCAGTGCCCCATGGCACAGGGACTGTGTGCCCCACACAAAGGGGGTTCAGTGCCCCACAGAAAGCAGGTTCCCAGCCCCATGGCACTCCCCACAGCGAGCACCTCCCGTGCCCCACGGCCGGGGGCCGCACACCCCACAGCGATGCCGTGGGGCGCCACAGGCCCTGCCGGGGCCGGGGGGGCCGGGGGTCACCATGGCGATGCTGCACACACAGACATTAAACAGAGTTTTATATCGGAAGTAGCGAAACCACAACGCGTCACTGCTGCCGCGGCGCCAGCCCTGCCCCACAGCCACGCCAGGGTCGGGCACGGAACGGGGACGTGGCACAGGGGACACGCGGGGGGACACGGGGCACGCACAGCGCTGGCACACGGCACTGCCGGTGGCCCTGCACACCTGTGCACACCTGCGCGCCCCCGCAAGCCCCCCGGCAGGGTCCCCGCGGCCACCTCGGGTCCGTGCCAGCCCCACGGTGGCCGTGCCGGGACTGTGGTGGCCGTGCCAGGGCTGTGGGTCACAGGCGGCCGCGCTGGCCCTGCCGGGACCGTGGTGGCCGCGGTGGCCGTGCCAGTGCCCATGGTGGCCCTGGTGGCCCCGTGGGCTCGCTGTGAGTCCCGTGCTGGCCCTGGTGGCCCCGGGTGGTCCCGGTGGCTCGCTGCGAGTCCCGCGGTGGCCCCGGGTGGCCCCGCTGGCCATGCCGGTGCCCGGGTGGCCGCGGTGGCCCCGGGTGGCCGCGGTGGCCCCGTGGGCTCGCCGTGGGTGCCGCGGTGGCCCCGGTGGCCCCGGTGGCCCCCGGGGCTCGGGATGCCCTTTCTAGGCAATGGCAGCGGCCGGGGCAGCGCCCACGCGCCGCCGGCGCATTCCGAGCGCCTGAGTCAGCCCGGGAGGAGCGGCGGCGGCAGCGGGGCCGCGCGGCACGGCACGGCACGGCACGGCACGGCACGGCACGGCACGGCACGGCACGGCACGGCACGGCACGGCACGGCATGGGAGGGCACGGCGGGTGTTTGGGGGGGGGGTTTACCCCCTCCTTCCCCGTGTCCCCCTCCCCTCCCCTCCCTTCCCGGTGTCAAGCCCCGACTTGTGGGGCCCGTGAGTCACCGGGCGGGGCCGGGGGGGGTTTGGCGTGGCCGGGACCACCGGGAGGAGCCGTGGGGACCCCCGGGACCCCCGGGACCGCTGCAGGGAGACCCCTACGGCATGAGGCGCGTTGGCCGCCGTGCGGCCAGCGGCTCTGCCGGCGGCCCCCGCAGCCTGCCGTGCCTCAGTTTCCCCGCTCACATGGTGCCGGGCCGGGCCCTGCTCCCCAGAGATCTCGGGGGGCGCTGCCGCGCTGGGTGGGGGGAACTCGGGGGTCCCCATCTGCAGACCCCCCCCCCTCCCCGAGCCCCCATCCCGGCCGGGCGCGCAGGGGTTAAGGGAAGCTGCGGGCCCTTTAAATGGGCGGGGCGGGGCTGAACGGGGCGGGGCCGTGCCCACAGGCGTGGCTGCTGGCCAATCAGAGCCGAGGAGGAGGAGCGTGCGGCCAGTGGGTGGGGCCTCAGGGCTGCGCTGAGCCCCGCCCCCCGTCAGAGCCTGGGGACACCTGGGGACACCTGGGGACACCTGGGGACATCCAGGGACACCTGGGGACACCTGGGGGACACCCGGGGACATCTGGGGACATCCCACGCACACCTGGGGACATCTGGGGACACCTGGGGACATCTCGGGGACATCTGGGGACATCCCACGCACACCTGGGGGACACCTGGGAACATCTGGGGACATCTGGGGGACACCTGGGGACATCCCACGCACACCTGGGGGACACCTGGGAACATCTGGGGACATCCAGGGACACCTGGGGACACTTGAGGACATCTGGGGACATCCCACGCACACCTGGGGACATCTGGGGGACACCTGGGGACATCCTACGCACACCTGGGGTCTCCCAGTTTCCCAGCCCGGGACAAGAGCAGCTTTGGGGTCAAATCCGGGGGAATTGGGGTTCAGCCAGGCAATGACCCTCCACCCCCCAGTTTTTTCCCATTTTTCACCCCAAAAGGGTTTTTTTTCCAGCTCCTTTGGGGCTCCTGGGGTTTGCTGGATGCTGGGGTTGGGTTTGGGGTGAATTCCCTGGGTTTGGGGTGAATGCTCTGGGTTTGGGGTGGATTATCCTGGGATTCGGTGCCTGGGTAGGGAGGGATCCTGGCGGGATTCCAGAAGCTTCCCTGAGCAGAGGGAATGCCAGGAGCAGGGTGAGATCCTGCCAGGAGATGGATCCCTGATCCCGCTGGGATCCCAAAATCCAGGGCAGGGACAGATCCTGGATGAGAACAGATCCCAAAATCCTGCTGGGATCCCAAAATCCAGAACAGAGACAGATCCTGGATGGGAGCAGATCCCAAAATCCAGGAGGGAATCCCCAAAAGAACAGGGACAGATTGTGGATGAGAATAGATCCCAAAATCCCGCTGGGATCCCCACAAGAACAGGGACAGATTCTGGATCCTGCCCAAGAGTAGATCCCAAAATCCAGAACAGAGACAGATCCTGGATGGGAGCAGATCCCAAAATCCAGGAGGGAATCCCCAATCCCCCCCCCCGGACAGGACCCACCGGGGATTTCCCGCAGCACCAAATCCCCCCCATCTTGCCTCAAAACGCGCTCGGGGATTGCTGGCATGGCCCGGGGCGGGCAGCGCTTATCGCGGCGATTACCGAAATCGCGGCGATTAGCCCCAATCCTCAAAAGGCCACGATGGCGGCGCCCCGCCCGTCTGGAGCCGCCGACAGCCACGAAGGCGGTGGCGCCGACCACGCGCGGCGCCTAGGCCCCGAACCGAGACACCGGGAGCAGCGACGGCACCGGCACCGGCAGCGCCGGGAGCACCGGGAGCGCCGGGAGCGCTGGGAATACTGGGAGCACTGGGACGGAGCGCTGGAGTGTCCAGCAAGACTGGCCAGACCACGCCACGCCAGGAGAACTGGAAGCACCGGGAGCACCGGGAATACCGGGAGCACTGGGAATACCTGGAGCACCGGGAATACCGGGAGCACTGGGAGCACTGGGACGGAGCGCTGGGGTGTCCAGCTCCACGCCACCAGCGACACTGGCCGGACCAGCCCCACGGCACAGCAGAACTGGGGACACCAGAAACATCTGGACGAAGGAGCCACATCCAGCCACGCGCCATGCGGGGACCGCCGGTGACACGAGAGGTGGCACGAGAGGTGACACGAGAGGTGACATGAGAGGTGGCATGAGAGGTGACACCAGAGGTGGCACGGGAGGTGGCACAAGAAGTGGCACGAGAGGTGACACCAGAGGTAACACGAGAGGTGACATGAGAGGTGGCATGAGAGGTGACATGAGAGGTGACACCAGAGGTGGCACGAGAGGTGGCACGAGAGGTGGCCACGCCACGCCAGGAGCGCCGCAGCCTCACTGGGGAGGCACGAGGACGCTGCGGTGTCCCCCGCCGCGCCGCGCCGGTGGCACTGGGGCGGCCGTCGCGCTGCCACGCGGGGAAGCCACGGGACACTTCGACATGTGGCGGGACTACCTGGGGCTGGCGGCCGTGGTGGCCGTGCTGCTCCGCGAGCCTGCGGGCCTCGGGGACATCTCGGGGCCACTGGGAGCTCTGGCTCCGTCTGCCAGGCCAGCTCCACATGCAGGGCCAGCTCCACATGTGGGACCAGCTCTGTGTGCCGAACCAGCTCCGTGTGCCGCGCCAGCTCCACACGCTGGGCCATATCCACATGTAGGACCAGCTCCATGTGCTAGACCAGCTCTGTGTGCCGAACCAGCTCTGTGTGCCATGCCAGCTCTGTGTGCCGAACCAGCTCCACGTGCCGAACCAGCTCCACGTGCCAGGCCAGCTCCACATGTGGGACCAGCTCTGTGTGCCGAACCAGCTCCACATGCTGGGCCATATCCACATGTGGGACCAGCTCCGTGTGCCGTGCCAGCTCTGTGTGCCAAACCAGCTCCACGTGCCAGGCCATCTCCACATGTGGGACCAGCTCCGTGTGCTGAACCACCTCCCCCCGTGGGACCCCCTGCGTGCTCGGCGCCGGTTGCGTGCTCGTTCTGCCAGCACAACGGCGAGGCCCCGGGCGTGTACCAGAGCCACAGCCTGCGGGACGCCCAGGGCCGGCTGCAGTGCCCGGTGCTGCGCAGCTACGTGTGTCCCCAGTGCGGCGCCACGCAGGACCAGGCCCACACGCGCCGCTTCTGCCCCCGCACGCACCGCGGCTACACGTCCGTCTACGCGCGCCCCGCGCCCGCCGGCGGCGCCAGGAGGAGGCCGAGGGACACCAGCATGTAGCCGAGGGACGGAGGAGCCTGTGTCACCGCGCAGGTACCGCTGGGGCCGGGTGTGCCACGCCCTGGATTGGGATTCCCGTGAGGAATCTCGAGATGGAGGGAAGGGGGAGCAGGGATGGAGGATGCCACATCCCCACGCGGGTTTGGGGTGTCCCAGCGATAGGGTGGCACATCCAAAGATGGGTTTAGCCAGATTCCCGTCAGGAATTTCATCAGGAAATCAGAGCTGCCAAGGGGAGGGCACCAGCAGACTGGTGGCAGGTGACACTGGGAAGCCACCAGAGGATGGAAGATCCCCTGTCCCCGTGCAGGTACTGAGGGTTTTCAGATCCTGGATTTAGGCAGGAACAGGATTTCCATGCGGGAATCTCACCAAGGAGCCAGAGCTAAAGGAAGGAGGAGGCACTGGGAAACAAGTGACAAGAAGGAAGGAGCCATGGATTTATCCAGGACGGGATTCCTGCAGGAATCCCTCCAGGAATTTGGCACTAACCATGGGGTACATGCTGCTGCTTCCCTCCTGGTGCTCCTGCCTCTCTCTCCTGGCTTCTCTTCCAGGAACTTCTCCAGAGGATGAGACTACGGCGTGGAGCTCGACTGGGACCAGTCTTGGAGCTCCACTGGGACCAGTTTGCCCAGTTTGTGCCGCCTCCCGACGCCGTGGCACCCGCAGGAGTCGTGGCACCCCAGATCTGGGTGCTGCCAGCGGGGCCAGCTCTGAGTTTTGGGTTCTGAGTTTCGGTTAATCCCAGAAGGGCTCGGTGCTCCAGGGGTTACCAGATGTTTTGGGTTGGATTGTTGAGTTTTGGTTAATCCCAAAAGGGGTTGGTGCTCCAGGGGTTACCAGATGTTTTGGGTTGGATTGTTGAGTTTTGGTTAATCCCAAAAGGGATTGGTGCTCCAGGGGTTACCAGATGTTTTGGGTTGGATTCTGAAGTTTTGGTTAATCTCAGACCGGGAAGGGGCCGGTGCTCCATGTGCTGGAGCTGTTACCAGATGTTTTGGGTTGGATTGTGGAGTTTTGATTAATCCCAGCCAAAAAGGGACTGGGAAGGGACCGGTGCTCCAGCTGCTGGAGCTGCTTCCAGGTATTTTGGGCGGGATTGTGGAGTTTTGGTTAATCCCAGCCAAAAAGGGGCTGGGAAGGGGCTGCTGCTCCTAGTGTTGGATTCTTTGTCCCAGTCCCACAGCCATTCCTTGGCATTTTGGGTGAGTTTGGGTGGTTTTGGTGGGATTTTTTCACCCACGACGGCGTGAAGACCCCGGTAGTGAGTGCTGGAACCATTCTCCAGACGAAGCTTGGTTTATTCCCGCTGTTCCCATCAATAAATGATAATTATTATTAATTGCTCCTGGCGTCCCTACCCCTCTTTCCAGCGGCTTCCAGCGGGCACCGCCCTGCGGCCACGCCGTGCCTTCGGCCTCCTCAGCAGCTCCAGCCCCCGGCGGGCTCCCATGGCCAGGCGGCTGTGGGGGGGCGTGGGCATCACTCAGGGGGTGCTGGACCCCCAATTCCAGTGAAATCCAGGCGGGTTTAGGACTTACTTGAGGTCTGACAGCTCCCGGATCAGCCCGCGGATGACGTCGCTGGCGTCCGCCGGCTCCGCGGCCTTGGCGCTGCTGGGGGAGGAAAATTGGGATTTTTTCACTCCCTAAATTGGGAATTTCAGGCAAAATCAGGATTTTGTTCCTGCAGGAGGGTCTGGATCCACCCACCTTTCCCATGGGCTGTTCCTTGTGGATCCGGTGTGGGTCTGGCCTGTGCTGTGCCATGGCTGCAGGGAAAGAAAGGAGCTGGGAAGGGCAAGGGGGTGGGGAGGGTCCCAGGTGAGGTGGGGAGGGGTCCCCGGATCCCAGTTTGGGATGGGGAGGGGTCTCTGGGTCCCAGTTTGGGATGGGGAGGGGACCCTGGATCCCAGTTTGGGATGGGGAGGGGACCCTGGATACCAGTTTGGGATGGGGAGGGGACCCTGGATCCCAGTTTGGGATGGGGAGGGGACCCTGGATCCCAGTTTGGGATGGGGAGGGGACCCTGGATCCCAGTTTGGGATGGGGAGGGGACCCTGGATCCCAGTTTGGGATGGGGAGGGGACCCTGGATCCCAGTTTGGGATGGGGAGGGGACCCTGGATCCCAGTTTGGGATGGGGAGGGGACCCTGGATCCCAGTTTGGGATGGGGAGGGGACCCTGGATCCCAGTTTGGGATGGGGAGGGGACCCTGGATCCCAGTTTGGGATGGGGAGGGGACCCTGGATCCCAGTTTGGGATGGGGAGGGGACCCTGGATCCCAGTTTGGGATGGGGAGGGGACCCTGGATCCCAGTTTGGGATGGGGAGGGGACCCTGGATCCCAGTTTGGGATGGGGAGGAGTCCCTGGGTCCCAGTTTGGGATGGGGAGGGGTCTCTGGGTCCCAGTTTGGGGCCATCCCAGTTGTACCTTCTCCGCTGGGAGCTCTGGGCTGGTCCCTCCCCGCTGGGGCTCGGTGCCGGTGGCTACTGGCTCTGACCCCGCTGTGGCCATCCTGGCACTGCCACCCTGGCAATTCCTGCTCTCTGCGCCCCCTCCACCGCTCCGGGCACCTCGGGGACCGCCTGGTGACCCCGTGTCCGTCCCCAGGGCGATGCCAGTGCCACATCCCCCCTGCAGGGCACCTTCCTGCCCCTCTCCCGCTGCGTCCGCCACCTCCGGGCTTCCCTCGGGGGCCGCGTCCCTCGCCGTGTCCTCGTGGGCTCCAGAGCCCCCCGCCTCTGCTGGTCCCAGCTCGTTCTCTCCTGTTCCACCCAAAATTCCCAGGCTGGGAATTTCCCAGTTTGGCTCTGGCTGCTCCTCTGCTGCCCCATCTGCCTCTGGAATTCCAGGTTTTGGTGATTCCAGCGGATCCTCTCCCGTTCCATCCAAAATCCCCATTTTTAGTGATTTCAGCTGCTTCTCTGCTGCCCCATCCGCCTCTGGAATTCCAGGTTTTGATGATTCCAGCGGATCCTCTCCCGTTCCATCCAAAATTTCCATTTTCAGTGGCTCCAACTGCTCCTCTCCTGCCCCATCCGCCTTTGGAATTCCTGGTTCTGCTGGTCCCAGCTCGTTCTCTCCTGTTCCACCCAAAATTCCCAGACTGGGAATTTCCCAGTTTGGCTCTGGCTGCTCCTCTCCTGTCCCATCTGCCTCTGGAATTCCTGGTCTTGGTGATTCCACCTGCTCCTCTCCTGTTCCATCCAAAATTCCAATTTTCGGTGGTTCCGGCTTCTCCTCTCCTGTTCCATCAAAAATCCCCATTTTCAGTGGCTCCAGCTGCTCCTCTCCTGCCCCATTTGCCTCTGGAATTCCTGGTTTCACTGGCTCTGGATGCTCCTCTCCATCCACCTCCAAAATTCTTGGTTTTGGTGTTTTCAGCCTATCTTCTCCTGTTCCATCCAAAATTCCCATTTTTAGTGCCTTCAGCTGCTCCTCTGCTGCCCCATCTGCCTCTGGAATTCCTGGTTTTGGTGTTTCCAGCTGACCCTCTCCTGTTCCACCCAAAATTCCCATTTTCAGTGACTCCAGTTGCTCCTCTCCTGCCCCATCCATCTCCAAAATCTCTGGTTTTGGTGTTTCCAGCTGATCCTCTGCTGTTCCATCCAAAATCCCCATTTTTAGAGACTCCAGCTGCTCCTCTCCTGCCCCATCCACCTCCAAAATTGCCGCTTTTGGTGATTCTCCACAATTCTCTCCTGCCCCATCCAAAATTCCTGGTTTTGGTGACTCCAGCTCATCCTCTCTTGCCCCATCTGCTTCCAAAATTCCCAGCTGGGGCAATTCCAGATGATTCTCTTCCACCCCATCGGAAATGCCCTGTTTTGGTGATCCCACTGCTCTGCCACCTCCAATTTGCTCATCTCTCCCTTCCTGTAAAATCACATTAACCCCAATTTGGGGAGTTTTCCCCTCTGCTGGGATCGTGGGATCCATCCCGGCAGGATCTCCGTGGGGATCAGCTCCTGGTGCTTCCTGAAGGATCCGCTTGGCTTTGGGAGCGTGGAATTTCCTGTCACCTGTTGTGTGCATGGTGAGAGAAAAACAAATTTTTTTTTTGATGGAAAGGAAAAAAGGAGATCAGTTTGGATGTGGGGAGATCCCAGCTGGGTCTCCCAGAAGGGGGAAATGACCCCAGCTGGGTCACTGTGGGCCCAAATTGGGATATTTGGGTGTTTTCCTTTTACCTGGGATTGGGCGGCTCCTGCGTTTCCCCATCCTGGCGCTATCTAGGAAGGATAAAGAGCAACCCCAAATTACCTCTGCTCCCCATGTCACACCGCCCCAGCTCCCCTCAGGCCCCAGCAGCCATTTTCCCCTCACCGCCCTCACTGCCCTCACAGCACAAACAACACCCCCCAGCTCCCCTAAAGGCACAGCCGCAACATAAAACCCCAAACCCTCTGGGCCTTAGGTGAAAACAGTGGAATTTCCGCCGATTTCCACCTGATTTTCCACCTCGGGGCATTCTGCCACCGGCTCCCTCACGTTTTTCCCGCCTTTTCCCTGCCGGGAGTGGGGCACGCTGGGAGTTGTAGTTCTTCGGCGCCGCGAAGCAGGGCGCTTTTTACGACAGCGGCTTTTGCGACGGCGGTGCTGTAAAGCGCGAGGTGTTGACAGCGGCCGGCGGAGCAGGAAGTGAGTGCGGATAAACCGGGACAAACCGGGATAAACCGGGACAAAACGGGTTAAACCGGGATAAACGGCAGCACCGGCATCGGGGGGTGAGGCCTGCGGACAGCTGGGGGGTGACGGCGCCTTGTGAGGTGCTCTGGGAGGCGGCAAAAGGCGCGGTGGGGCCTTGTGGGGCGCGCCCGGGGCCTTGTGAGGAGCGGGGGGCGCCGAGATTTCTGGGGGGCTCTGAGGGGGATCGGGGCGCTAAAGGCGGCTCGGAGGGGCTCGTGGGAAGCCGAGGGTTTAAATCAGGGCGGGGGTCTGCCCGTGTTCCCCCTCCCCAGCTCGGCCTGGCGGGACGCGGAGCCATGAGCCGAGCCAGGAGGGCCCCGGGCCGGGGGGCGGCCATGGCCAGGCAGGTGCGTGTGACCCCCCCGGGACCCCCTGCTCTGGCTGCCGGGGGGTCCCAAGCTCCCCTCCTCCGCTCCAGCACTTTGGGGGATCCCTGGATCCCCTCCTGGGGGTCCCTGGATTCCCTCCGGGGGG